ACCTTTACCACTATTTAGCATTGTGTTGGAGCTACTACATAATGCAGTCGGCCAAGAGAAAAAACAATTAGAAGCATAATAATTGGAAAGAAACAGGTAAAATATCATCTGCATATTTGCAGATGAAATAATGATATATCAGAAAACCTAAAAGAAGAAAAACCACTATCAAAAGACAGGTAAACAACAATTTTAAAGCAGCTTTTATATCATTCATATGCTAAAATAGAAAACAGTTAAAAGAAATGTGGAAGAAAAGAGCACATTGTCTGTTGCATGAAAGTAAAAAGAAAGAGAAAGGAAAGAACTTTTTTTGTTTTCTTCTGCGGTACGCGTGCCTCTCACTGTTGTGGCCTCTCCCGTTGCGGAGCACAGGCTCTGGACACATAGGCTCAGCGGCCATGGCTCACGGGCCTAGCCGCTCCGCTGCATGTGGGATTTTCCTGGACCAGGGCATGAACCCATGTCCCCTGCATCGGTAGGCGGACTCTCAACCACTGAGCCAGCAAGGAAGCCCCAAGAACATTCTTAAGTACAAGTTAAGACTAAGCAGATAAGTCAATTAAATGGAATAGCAAATCAATAACTAAGCCTAATTGTATATGGAAATTTAGTTTATGTTAAAGACAGTATCTCAAATCAGTGGGGAGGAATGAGTTCTCAGTAAGTACATTGTGACAAGTGTGTTAGTGAGAGTGTCCCATTTTATTTTACTTAAAAAATTTTTTTTCTTTATTTTTGTTGTATTGTGTTGTATTATTTTTGGCTGTGCTGCAAGGCATGTGGGATCTATTTCCCTGACCAGGAATTGAACCCATGCCCCCTACAGTGGAAGTGCAGAGTCCTAACCACTGGACTGCCTGGGAATTCCCTGTCCCATTTTAGAGCAGTAGTCTTTAAACTGGGATTCCTATACTCTTGAAATTATATGAAGGTTTTCCAAGGTTTATGCAGGCATAGATAATTCTAATGGAATCTAGTCATATGTGTGTGTGTGTATGGGTTTGTGTATTAGAATTTTTTTTCCCTAAAACTGCTTTAGAACATGCCTTGAGATCCAGATGTCATGCCGCCTCTTTCCCATTTCACTTTCCACTCTTAACTTTTCCTTAAAAAAAGCTCCACCATCCTGAATCTTACTATGGTACATTGCTCCAGAGTCTAAAATCTCCAAGGTACCAAAGAAGTAAGCAATTCATTGGCTCCTGGCTTCTGAGGGAAAGTCCTGAACAGCTAGGAAAGAAATATTGCAAGACAGGGAGGTGTTTTAACTAGGCAGCAACCTCGAGACAAGATTCCTTGATCTTATCTATCTATCTATCTATCTATCTATCTATCTATCTATCTATCTATCTGTCATCTTAGAATTCAGAAGTGAATTGGTGGTCACTGAAACCCATCGTGTAACATCATTGTTTGAATTGAAAAACAAAGTCAAACTTTTTATGAGAAAAAAATAAATCTTATGTGGCAGGTTTGTTTGACAATGTGGGGTATGGGAGGAACAGAAGAATTAAGGAAGAGTCCCAGGATTTCTGGTAAGGTGAATTATATTGCCATTTTTTTCTGAGATGGAAAAGAGTGAGGGAAGAACCTGAGGGAAGAACCTATGCTTCTTCTATATTAATTATGGATCTATTTGTTGTAAATGACAGAATCTCAACTCATGCTGACTTGTTCCCAATGAGAGTATTTTGACTTTTGCCGCTCCAGGCAGAGCTGGATATATAGGCTCTGATGATGCTCTCAGATCTGTCTGTCTTCATATCTCTGCATTGCCTTTCTCTATATTTTAGGCTAAGGTGTGAATGATGTTCCCTAAAATGGTCCAGTGATTAACTTCCACAGCTCACAATGATATGGCAGCTCTACTGTGTAGAAAAAAAAACACGAAAACCACAGATACCCACTTAAATGAATGTGTCTGCAAAGCAGATGTGTTCATGGCTTGCATCTTTGTGCTTACCCTCTTTTCCACAATGGTTTCTAGTTTTGAGAGTCTGTGAACCTATTCTAATAACTCTGTCAAATTTCAATGTTAATGATAGATTAAAGCAAATCTTGAATAGTCTCTTTTGGACAAATCTTCTCTGTCCATGGTCTATTCTTATTTCCCCTCCCTTTCTCTTAAATTGTTCTTGGTCTCTTCCACCATTCAAGACCCCAAATATAGCATTACCCAACATTCAGCACCAAGAAAACTTTTCCTTGATGAAACAGTGGTGAGTGGGACTATTCTAAATCTATGGGTTGTTTTTCTGGGATGGATCACAGACATTTGATGAAAGTAAAATGTACAAACTTTGACTGGAAGTTTCCACATCTCTCACTTCATCCATCACGGAGTGTTACAGAAAGTCTTTTATTCAATAAAATAGATTTCTCTTCCTCACTCTTCTCAGTTTCTACTTTTGAAGAAAGACTTTCTCTTTCTGAATGATGTGGATATAAACTAAATCACCAAATGGTGGAATAACAATTTTAGTTTTACTACGGTGTTGTTGTCTATTTTTTATGTGCTTACTTGATTCTCGACCCTGCACCATTTAATAGAAAAATGGAGCTATAAGACCCCTAAAAATTTAGTATATTGCTGCCTGAAGAAATACCCTTTTTTAAGTACACCAAACCATGCTCTTCTAAGAGTGAACCAAATTAGACAACAAACATGTTTGTGATGATAAAAGGCACAGTGGGGGTCAATTGGAAATTAGCCTTAATGTTGAAGGACTATCGGCCTGGCTTATCCTTATGGCAACTCAGTACCCTGAAGAGCAGGGAAGTAGATGGGAACATACCTAAACTGTACCAGTACGAGTACTGAGGAGGGCAAAATCTCACATGAATTCAGGAGTTATTTTCAGTGAAAACCATGCAAGGGTTTTTGCAACCAGATGAGGAAGAGGACAAAGTACAAAGCAGAGCAGAATGTAGTTATTTTTATTTGTTTGGTCTATATTATATGATTTAAAAGTTTGTCCTTTACGGGAGGTTAATGAATGCAGAGAAGCTATTAGTCTCCCCCTACGTCTAAACAAAACTCATGCTGCAAAGTGATCATAAAATTGCAACACATTGGGAAAGTGTTTAGATTTTTCCTTTCCTGGAATATGGCGATTAGTTGGTGGTAGAATTGCTCAGGGAAAACGAAATTCATTTGTTCATTGAATCAATCATTATGGAAATCCAGTTTTTCTATACATTTAGAAGTGTGCTTATAAAAGTAAATCTTTGATATAATCTGACAGTTTAAATTTAGATTAATAGCTCATTCTAAAAAACAATTTCAAGGTATTCCTTAATATTGCTTATGCTAAAGACAGGTAATCTCATGACATGTTGTATTTTTATCTGGAAAGAAACCCAGTTCTGAGCTGTGTGTGGCCCTCTTGGATGAACTACTAACTCAAGCTAACATTTCATATTATCTCACAGTACCATCCAATAACAATTGTCCCTTTCAGTAATATTAAAAACTTTTAATTTCCTAAACTCTTCTTGCTTATTGTTTCTTGATCTTTGCTCTTAATAAGTTTACCCTGCTTGGAATGTGTTCTCCTACCATTGCCCTCACTTAAATTCCTACACATGCGTCAAGTAAAAATTCAAAATCCAATTTCCATGAATTTGGAAGTGAATTTTACAAGCTTTTTGGTTGTTCAGTTCTTTCACGGTATTTTCCCTCACTTAAAACTTAAAATTCTTAGTTTGGTGCAAAATCATATTGTTTTGCAATTGTTTCTGCAAATCACTGGAAAATGGACATCCCACTTTTCTTTGACTAGTTCCTGTAATGAGGAATATTTTATACCTCAAAGCAGTCTGTTTTGTTTTGAAAAACCTCTGATTGTTCATTTTTCCTTATAGGGAGCTGAAATTTGTTTCCATACAAATTCTAACCATTGGCTATAAATTTGCCTTTATACATGGGTATAAATATTATCAGCCATTCATTCTTTCAACCAGTGTTCAGTGAATGCTTATTGGTAAAAAAAAATTGATATCTTCATAAAGCTTAAATCTAATGAGAGAGATATTCCTATGACTGTTAGGTAGTAAGCTCTTTGTGTACAAGCGTCATTCGTAAAATATTTTTATATTGCCTAACAGTGTGCAGAAAGGAGGAAACAGAAAAACCTCAGGTATGAATTCTGAGAAACATCATTTTGTGTGAAAGTGAGTGCCTCCTTCTGTGGGGTTGTGAACAGACTGAACGTGGGCGGGGTCCCCATGATTACAGGGCAGAAGGTGAAGTCTGAGCCTATGACCTGCACAGAGATATGTTCTTCTTAATGGTTGGAACTCCCACTCTTGCTGCGTGTGTGACTGTGTTAAAAATAGAAACCTCTCCCTCCTGGCACTTGTGGACTGGGGATGCTGCTCCACTTTCTGTTGGCTCTCTTCCCTGTTCAGAGAGAGGAAGAGACACAGAATACTAGACATCAACTCTCCACTTAATTCAATGATTCATTTCATTTTTTCCAACTTTTCTGGAAACAAGCAAGCAAAATTTACTTTTAAAGGACTAAAACAAGACCTGAATAAATGAAGAGGCATATAATATTCTTGGGTAGGAAAACATAATATCCTACAATGTCAGTTTTCAATGTGATTCCAACCAGAATCCCATTTGTTTGAACCAAACTAAATAAGTGAGAACAAATGCCTTGAATTGTCAACTATATTTTGAAAAAGAATATTAAGATTGGGTTTTCTTTTTATGACATAAAAACTTACTCTGAACAAAACAGTACAGTATAGGCACAGCCTGCTCAGGTGACACTGACAAGAAACCACCCACCAGCCTCAAGACCACTGAGAACACTGAAATTAAGAAAACAGTAGTCTTTCCTTTGCAAAAGAAAAAAGAAAGAGAAATCTAAGATGCCCATGGGAACCAAACACTTTCAGGATTCTGTATTCTCTGTACTGTTTGCCTTCACAGAACATGCCAACATCCTGAAAATAACATAGGCCGAGACCCTGAGTCTCTTAAGCTACTATGTCTCAGGAGATTTGTGTTCAGCTCCCACTGTAGTCTTAGTCACTGTGTCACTCAGAGCACAGAAGTACTTGGCCGAGTCTTTCCAACGGGCTGATGTTTTCCTCAGGTGGAAGGACTTCTCACTCCTCCTAAATTCAGCTTCAAAACCTTTGATACCTGAGACAAGGCTGTTTCCAGATATGTACTTCAGGAGAAGCTGGAGTCCTTGATTGGGGTACTGCACATACCAGAAGAGATAGAATGAAGCAGAAGATGAGTAGCTGCACCTCAGCTCCAGACGGGCTCCTTCAGAGACAGTGATGTGGCTGTCAGGCTGGGTCACCGACTGGGCTCCGGCTCCTCCTGAAACGTCAATGCTGAATCAATGAACTCAGCCAGAACAAAAAGTCTCTATTCAAAGTCAGTCCAAAGCAATGTTCCATATGTGGACAAGAGAGTAAAATGGAACAGTACTCACTCAGGAACAGGAGCACCTCAAGCATCAAGGTGAACACTAAGGTCATGGTGGAGCAGTGAGGAGGCAGTGAGCTCCTTTCTGGGAGATTCTCCACAAACAAAAGTCTGATGACTGGTGGACTTGAACCCAGGTTGCTGTGAGGTTGAGAAGGAATGACACAGGATTTAGATTTCTTCTTCTGATGGACGTTGTAAGGTGTGTTGGGAGAGAGGCTGTCTTAACAAGACTGCCTGCTTCTGGCATCTGAGATGCTTTACATGTCATTGTGCAAAAAGTGGTGTCAGAATATCTCTTTAAACTGTAGGGAAGGAAGGTTTTTTTAGGTTATTCTGATCTTATATAGAAAAACCATTTCCAGTTTACACAACAGCCCCCTCTATTGGTCAGATAGAGGAACAAAGAACAGTTCACAATTTTTGTGAACGTTCCTCACCTCCTTCCTGCCAGGAACACAAAAGTCTCCGAAAGGCGTGGCGATCACTGCAGAAAGTGGCTGCTCTGAATGTGGTCTGCAGGTGAGTAGCATCTGCATCACTGGGGAGCTATTCTGAATGCAGAAGCTCAGGCCCTACCCAGACTTCCTGAGTCAGAATCTGCATTTTAATAAGATTCCTGCGCACATTAGAATTTGAGAAACACTTGTGTAGATGAAGGAGGTAAAAAATACCTTTTGGATTTAATAATAAAGAGATCATTGGTATTTCTGAGAAAAATAGATTGTTTACAGGAGAGGCATGTATGAGTTTGGAGGAATATTAAATAATTTTTAAGAGGAGCATGCTTGAATATTTTAAATGATGGGAAGAAATCAATAGCAAGAAAGTCCTGAAGAACCAGACCATAGAGTTTGGACGATCAGTGGGCTGAGGTGCCAGAGAAGTCAAAGTGAATGGAGTGGGTGAAGCGTTTGGACGGAGGCACACTATTTACAAGTAAGAGAGAGATCTTTTTTATTATTAGGGGAGGGAAAGTGAATTATATGTGTAAAAGCAGGAGTGTTTCATGTGGAAAGCAGAAAGTAGAGGGAGATTCATTTAATGATATGAGTTGTCTTTACGGTCATCTACCATGACTCATCAAAAGGTCCTGGGTAAGCTGTACTAAGAGCGAAGAGAGTCAAAGGAGATATCGTAAAGTATAGAAATGATACGTTATAAAAACATACAGAATTTTCCCGCACCATTTCATTTACAGTAGATGTTAAAAACCACAAATATATGGAGACAAACTTCTGTATGGCTGTGTTGATACATATGCTTAGATGGGGGCACGTTGTCCTCCTGGGATGATGGTTTAAGTAAGAACCAGGTGTAAGAGTGGGAAACACAGCCATGTGTTGGCTTGAGGGATATAATGAAGTAGAAGTATCTTCAGGTGTTCCCGCAGTGGAAGGTTTCCAACCCACTCATAGAAACCAGCTTCACAAACCAGCTCTCATTACTCAGTGCACTTGTCGAAAGTAAACTGTGGTCAAGCTGTAGGCAGATCGACTGAATGGTTCTTGTAAGTCAGGGACAATAATAACAGCTGGGATTAAAGAATAATATGTATGGGCCCCTATCCTTGAGGAATTTGGACAAGTGAAGAGTTAAAACCAAAAACTATTCTTAGCATAGTAGATATGTGCTCTTACAAAACTGTGTACAGAACACTAAAAGAGGGAGAGGGCAAATAAATATAATTTATGTAACCTGGAAAATCTTTTAAAAAGTAAATGTGACATTTACTGGGTCCTGAAGACTGAATAGGATTTTGCCAGCTTGAGAAAGAAATAATATTTATAAGAAGAAAATATGAGAGGGAGTTCATTTGATATGGCTGATGTTCAGAAATCTTGGTGTAATACTGGGGAGGAAGATGAACACTTACTGGAAGTAATACTGTAGATGGGCACATAAACCTTGGTTTTTACTTTTGGGTCATGGGGAGCCATTAGAAGGTATTGAAATAGAACAGCAATCTAATCTGATGTGTAGTTTAGAATGATAACTTCAGGGATAGATTTGGGAAGTAAGAGCTCATGGATAGGGGATACATTTAAGAAGTTATTCCAACCAACTCAGTGAGAGATTATTAGCACCTGGACCAGGATAGTAACAAGGCAACTAACAAGAGGGGGTTGGGGCTTCCCTGGTGGCACAGTGGTTGAGAGTCTGCCTGCCGATGCAGGGGACACGTGTTCGTGCCCCGGTCCGGGAAGATCCCACATGCCGCGGAGCGGCTGGGCCCGTGAGCCATGGCCGCTGAGCCTGCGCGTCCGGAGCCTGTGCGCCGCAACGGGAGAGGCCACAACAGTGAGAGGCCCGCGTACTGCAAAAACAAACAAAGAAACAAAAAAGAGGTGGTTGAAGCTGAGAAATATTTAGAAGACAGAATTGATACGACTTCATGTATCAGTCAACTTTGACTTGGGTAATGCTCAGTACAAACAACCTCACAGTCTCATTGGCTCACGAGTTCAAAGTTTACTGAGTTGTCCATGGTATGTTAGCTGTGGGTCAACTGCAGTCCCAGCACTCTGAGCCTCTGCTCCTGGATACAGGACGATTCCATTCTGCTACTATGAGTTATGTGTTCATTCTGGACCTTGCGTCTTCTTCACTTTATGGATAAAAGCTGAAAGGACAACCATTACCTGGTAAGTGCAGGGAAGAAACAAAAGAAGACATGCCATGTGAATATATTTAGTTTTAGCTCTGATATAACATACTTCCTGTCCACTCACATTCCATTGGTCAAAGCTGGTCACATTGCCATGTCCAAAGTCCACAGTGAGGCCAAGTATAGAAAATATACTCCAGCTAAAGATTAGCATAGTAAGGGTGAGAGAGAATGAATAGTCAACACATGATACACTCTAATACTCTTGGAAATGAGCTACATGAGAGTGAGCTTATAGGGCACTCGGATGTTAACTCCCTAACGGAAAAGAAGGTATATTCATTTCGAAATCTTTAAGAAAGTTTTTTGTGAAAACCTAGGAGAAATCAATAAAAAATTATTTGCTTTTCCCATTTCTCTTCTTTGTTCTTTCTTTTTGTGTTGAAGAACATGCCTTCAGTGAAGTAGGATGTAGCAACGAGTGGTGAATATTAGCCAACTTTAATCAGATTATTTTAGAAAGGTTTGAGTAAGTATCTAGTTCACTTGGAATCATGGCAAAAGAGGAAGCTAGGAATCTGACTCAATGATATGGCCAATATACTGGTGGGAATGGAGGTGAGTGATGTGTAATGACAGTCCCGTTAGTTGACGGAGTTACAGTGACTGGAACGCTTGTTTATCTATCATTGCATTTCCCCCTGGTTATAGAAAACACTGTAATTCATTGAATTTGCCTTTTCCACCTCACACATGGCTCTTTCTCAGTGCTGGTACCAGAGCAGCACCAGGCACAGGTTTGGGCATGGGCTGCAGAGGCCTGAAGGGCACTGTGTGCAGGCGCAGAGTTATGTGGCTGAGTCTTCAGCCTGGGATCCTTTGATGTACATGTAGCTGTAACCCTCCATAGTATTCAGAGTGATTCTTACTTATCCTTCCTCCTTTTCATCCTCACTTAAAGTCATTAAAACAGGTCCTTAGGGCTTTTTCCAGCTTCCCATGTATACCAGTGTAAAGCATAAAAAGAGCTGGAAGGGAAACTGCAGGTGAAATTGGTGCTCCCTCCTTCCTGAACATGCAGAGATGGAGAAATCTGTTCCACACTCAATATGCTGCTCATTTCTGTTCAGAAAGACAGGGTCAGACATGAACTGATCTCTCTACACAGTATTCATTGTCTTCACACATTCCCAGATAGAACCTAGAGTTATGTGACTACATCCGCCTCCTTCTCCATCACGGCCACATACTGTTCAGAATGTCTTCAGCAGCCCCTGGACTTAAGGCCAAGATGAAGTCACAGTATTAACAAAGGAGCTGGCAAAGGATTCCCCTCCATTTATCCTGCCCAAGTATCCTCAGCAGAGGAATATTCTTCTTCAGAAAATAGGATTCTGCATCTGGTTGCCCAGCCAATCAGAGACAAGACCCCATACAAGTCCTAGAAACACACCAACAATTTCTGACCTAGACTCAGTTTCCTGTCACTCAAAAGGAGGGCTCAAACACTGCTTTCTTGAGACCAACTTCACAAACAGTGAGGACATCCCCCATGAGTCCACAGCACAAAGAGAACTGACAACCATTCAGATGTGGGCTGCCTCATCGTGGACTGCAGTTATTCAACTTGAGAGAGATTGGGATGGCAATTTGTGGCAGGAAAAACACTTTGGTTAGGAATCTTTTATATGAACTTTCAACAAAATTTCGAAAACTTTCAAATCCTCATATTCTAAATGTGCACACATACCATGTGCTAAATTATCTATTGCTATATGTACGTTATTCGAATACAGAAATCACACAATAGAATTACTATCATTCCCAATTTACAAACAGGAAAACTAAAGCTGAAAGAGACTGAGGAATTCACTCCAGGTCCAACATCTGGTAATAATTAGAACACAGGGCTTCCCTGGTGGCGCAGTGGTTGAGAATCTGCCTGCCGATGCAGGGGACACGGGTTCGCGCCCCGGTCCGGGAAGATCCCACATGCCGCGGAGCTGCTGGGCCCGTGAGCCATGGCCGCTGAGCCTGCGCGTCCGGAGCCTGTGCTCCGCAATAGGAGAGGCCGCAACAGTGAGAGGCCCGCGTATCGCAAAAAATAAAAAAATAAAAAATAAAAAATAAATAATTAGAACACATACCTATCTGGTAAGGACTCCATGGTGTTTGGAATCTGCCATGCCACTTACATTTGTGATACTCAGTAAATGTTTTAAATGTTAGAGAAGATATGTTCTAAAAATAACAGGAGTCTGCTTTTTGGGTTTCTTTCTACTAGCCAAAAAATGGAACAACTTAAATGTACTGAATGACTCCATTTACATGAAATGTTCAGAAAAGGAACCTATGGAGATATAAAGTAGATCACTGGTTGCCTGTGGCCAGGTATCGGAACAGGGATTAACTATAATTGAGCATGAAGGAGCTTTTTGTGGTGATAAAAGTGTTTAAAGCTGGATTTTTTTTTTTTTTTTGCAAAGATTTTTAATTTTAATTTTATTTTTATTTATTTATTTGTGCTGTGTTGGGTCTTCGTTTCTGTGCGAGGGCTTTCTCTAGTTGTGGCAAGTGGGGGCCACTCTTCATCGCGGTGCGCGGGCCTCTCACTATCGCGGCCTCTCCCGTTGCGGAGCACAGGCTCCAGACGCGCAGGCTCAGTAGTTGTGGCTCACGGGCCTAGCTGCTCCGTGGCATGTGGGATCCTCCCAGACCAGGGCCCGAACCCATGTCCCCTGCATCGGCAGGCGGACTCTCAACCACTGCGCCACCAGGGAAGCCCCTAAAGCTGGATTATTGTAATGGTTTCATAAGTCAGCTAACTTACCCAAAATCACTGAACTGTAAACTCAAAATGGATGAATTTTGTGGAATGTCACTTTTACCTCAAATAGCATTGTTTAAAAGTAAGAATTATGTTCTATCTTGCCCGTGTCACAGTCCAGGAATAATGCTAGTTTGATTGAACATACACATATTAGTTTAAAGAGTCATCTTGTGCCCAGAATGTCCTTAAGAGATCTGAAAATTATGAAAGCAATACTCTCTGTTTCCTGTGAGCTTAAAAAACAGCTGGATTAAAAAAAAAAAATAAAGACATCCAGGGAAAATTTAACAGTACAAGGTAGAAGTAATTAAGATTGTTCAGAATCTAAATCTACTTCTGGAAAATTGGCAGTGTAAATTGACTACCTAACCTTCTTTCCAGTGAACAACTGAAATAAATAAAGGAAACAGCATGGGGAAGGTACTAAACTCAGGGAATACTACCTTCCACACACTCAAATAGTGTTCTGGAAAGTGGAACAGGATTGGAAGATATCTCAATGGCTAACCTCTGACTTTCCTTCCCAAGAAAAGAGATGCCACTGTGGTTAATAAAGGAAATCCTGAAAAACCTCATTCATGTCTCCCGATTTACAAGTGCAAAGGCTGAGGTTAGGGATGGACTGCTAGACAAACAGAAACTAGTACAAGTGAAGTTCCTTTTTTTTTTTCCTCCAGATCCGACCACTTGATGAATAGGATAGTGTGGGTATGACCACACCATCGTAAAGCCTACATGCTGTGAAGCGTATTTCTGATGAATATACTGATCCATTGAAAACTTCACCTGGATATTGGAAGGTATGTGTCCAGAATAAGACAGGCATACCCCCAACAGCCTTGACATTCATGCAACTAGTAAGGTAGAATCCTGTAATCTACAGCAACCCACCTTACCTGAAATAGAGGAGAAGCCAGTTGATCACTAGATATATTGCATAAATTAAATCTTAGATGAAGTGACTTGCAGGATATACATATTGCCAGTTCTAGATAAACAACACAAAGATTAGTCCAGCTTAAGCTTTTATATCAGTGTGTGAATAGCATGGACTCTAGAAACAATTTTACCTTTTGTACATTTATTTTATATATATATATATATATACACACAAACACACACACACATAAATTGAGCCTCCTGCACTAAGTATTGTTCACTCGTTGAGGATTCTGTAATGAAAGGATATAAAAGACCTACAGTGCGGTAGGAGGAGGAAGAATTAAATAAATGGATTTTTTAAGAAAGATAATTTTAGATAGTGATAAGCACTGAAAAATATACAATATTGTATTGAGCTAGAGAGTTGCTCTTGGGGTGAGGGAAGGCATCTGCTCTAGACAGGGTATGGAGAGAGGGCTCCACTCCGACACTTATTCTGTAACACCAGACAAGGTATTGAACCTCTCTCATGTTCAATTCCCTTTTCTGCAAGTAGCCAGTATCTTTCTGGGGGTGCTGGGCTCAGCACTGGCATTCATCATCTCATTCACTTCTCATAAGAACCCTGCATGGTAGATTCTATCAATATCCACATGGTAGATATGAGGAAATGGAAGCATACAAATTATTAAGTCATTTTCCCAAGATCACTCAACTACTGAGTGGTAGATCTAGAAATACAACCCAAGTCTTTGGTCTCAAGCACTTTGCTACACTGTCTCCCTAAAGTAGGATGGACCCAACCTTGAAGGGTTCCAGTAAGAATTAAGTGAGAACACACATTCAAATCACCCAACACAATACCTTCCCTAGTTTAGGCGCTCAACCAGCTGCAGGCAATGTGCAAAATCTTGTGGGGGTGGGGGTGGGGGCTGTTGGGAGACAGAATCTGAAATTGCAGAGGAATCTAGCCCAAGATAAATTTCAATATTTTTCTGAGGTATATGTAGCAGGTTACCTGGCAGATTTCATGTGTTATCATAAGTATCCATGGTCTATCATGTTCCTACTGTTAATGAGAAGTCAATTCATTAAGGTGTTATATTGAGAGATTGGGTGGGCATATTATAATGTGAAATGAGTATACCACCCAGTATTTGCTACAATTGTTTATTTTTTCCCATTATTGACTCTTGCTCCCACTTCTCAGGATATTGCTATACTACAAGAAAGGACAGAGCAGTAGACACAATTATACTTAGAGAAGAAACCGCAAACTTGCACAACAATTCTGAGCTTTCTTTCCAAGGTAGCCTATAATTCTGCAGCCAAAATCATCTCATGTGTTGTATATATCATTTGAAATCAGTCACTTTCACATCTGGCTAGCAAAAGAAAAAAACCAGCCAGTTCTCCTGAATCCTCTCACTCCTGATTTCTGCACTGGGAAGTTTACTGACTGGTTCAGCAATGCCTCTTCTATTGTGACTAGGCTTCACCACAATTTTACCTAATGTCACTAGAGGGCAGCAGCGAGGCCAATTTAAGCATCACAAAATATTTGAGCAGGACACCAGGTGGCGGTGCCTCAGCCTTCTTTCTTGCTGCATGCAGTGTGCTAGAGCCTGATTCTCAAGGAAGGAAAATAGCAAGATTAAAGATATGAAAAAGATTCCCAAGGGGGTGACATTTGAGTAAAGACATGAAGGAATTCAGAGGTGCCCCATGTAGATATTTGGGGGTATAACATCACAACAGAGAGGACAAAGGCAAGGAGCACAGGTCTTGATATAGAAACATGCTTGGAGTGTTTAAGGAATAATATCTTTCCCTGTAACCCCTTATTCTTCCCAGCACACTCTTGCATAAGGAACTTGCTAAAGCCTTCAGCACTGTTAACTGATTAGTGGATGATGTCCTCATCTATTGATCCTGGGGCAATTTGTGCCTAGGTTTGGCATCTTCTTTCCTAGTTCCCTTTAGGTTCCTGTTTAAACCAGTAATGTCACCATCACTGAGACATCCAGCCACCCTGTTCTGGGGCCAAGTGCTTCTCCATAGTTCAAACCTTGCTCTTTAGGAGCCCCATAAATGCTACCCTCTGGCTGGCAATAAAAGTTAGAGAAGATATTCACAGTTAGGAAAGTTATGTCTCATTTCCCAAAAATTTAAAAAATTGGAACAATAAAATCTATCTCATAGGGTTTATGATATTTGAATTAGATAATGAATCTGAAATGCGTACTACAGTGCCTGACATATAGTAAGCCCAATAAGTACCAACGTTCTTTTTTCTAGTAAAACCTTCCTTTCCTTCAGTGTCCGGTCTGTGTTCTGTTACTGCTTGTTGTTTTTTCCACATCAGTTCAATGATGGAAGCTTCTAAGAAATTTACTTAATCACTTATTTTCCTGGAGGCAGTTATTATTTTTCCCTCTCTTCTTAGGTCATATTCTCCTAGCCATACTGATTCACTCAGGACACTAAAAGGACACAGATGAGGTTTTATTTTCATTTCCCTAATGAATAATAATAATAATATTCCGTGATGAATAATGATAATTTTTGTATATTTATTAGCTATTGGATATAATATTTCTGAATTGGATCTCCAAGATTTTGCCATTCTTATTAACTTTTTTCTTATTGATTTACATGAGCTTTTAATATATATTGCATTTGAGTCTTTATCAGAAATATGCATTGCAAATAGTTTACCATTCTGTGCCTTGAATTTCCCCCCTATTAGCAGTGATTTTTAACAAAGACAATTTTAAAATATACTTTCATGTTCATAAGAAGCCAGTTTCAAAGTTTTACTTATTTGTTTTAACACTTTAAAAATATTTTCACTTGGTGACTTCTGATGTGAAATCAGGCATCATTGTTAATGATATTTCCCAGAATACAATATATCGATTTTCCCTGGGTATTGGCAAGATTATTTCCACTTAAATAGACCCCTGGATTTGCCTTCAATGCCTTGCAAATTTCTGCCAAAACCACAGTGGTGGACCTGCAGAATGCCTCATTCAACTTTATGGTTTTCCACATAGCATTGCTCCTGAATAAGAAACTTGTTTTTTAGGAAGTCAGGTAGAGCAGTGAGTGGTGGTGCTTGCTATGAGCAAATAGGTTATGGAATGGGTAATGGAAATGGTAGTTATAAATACCACCTACAATCATGTGGTCATTTGCAGAAACAAGAACTATAATAGTTATGACAATTTCTTTTTCATTTTGATGAACATGGTTATGTATTCATTAACCATTTTTAAATCTCTCCCCTACTTGTCTGCCTGTGGTAACATATGATGTGCAAGTATAAGTTTATCTTATATCTCATTGTATCTCACTGGTTAAGATGCAGGATTCAATGGGACAGTGTGAATGAGGTATAAGAGGAAAGAACACCACCCCGAAATGGATAAATTAACTTGGTGTACTCTTTTCGGGAGAGGGTTAGCTTGGTTTTGGTTGAATGGGGAATAACTGCATCTTATTAACAGGAAGCATAGTTTTGCTGTTGTCTTTATTTGAAAGTTGTGTTGTTAAAAGAGGTATAGATGGGTGACTAGTTGACATAGAGGGTACTGTAGTAGCTTTGTAGTGTCGCAACTATCTGGAAATCTGTGTCCCAGAATTTGCTTCCCTGTATTGTTCTGGGTTAGGGTTGGCCACAAAAAAGACTTGCGCAAGGTTTAGAAGGTAGCTGTCATGAAGTAGCCACATTTTTTATGCTCTGCTGGTTGGTGCAGGGCTCCAGGAACTGGGGCAACTCACACCTGTGGCTGCTGATGAGCTAGCTCATCTTACTGTTGACTCACAACTCCTCTACCGCCCACCCAATCTTCCCCTCATCTTCTCTTTGTCTTGGACCACGTATGCATGTAGCATGAGGGCAAATGACACCCACTTCTCCTTGAGGTCACCCACCATTGTGAGACTGAAGGAGGTGAGAGACAGACAAGTGTTAGTGTGTCTTTGTGGGTTCCATTGTCCTCATGGGTTCTAGTATCCGTACATGTCACAGTCTGTCCATGCTTTTGTCCACATCCAACTTTCCTTCCCAAATGATACTCTAACTGACTAACAGTGAATTCAGGCTCAACACCAGATGCAAAGATAACAGCTTTGTGTAGACCCCTCCACCAGCTCTAGCTATTGCCTGAGTTCTATTCTTTACAAGGAGTCTCTTATTCTAGATCACTTGCGATTTGCTTCTCTGATTGTACCCTGACACAAAGTCTGAGAGGAAAGGACTAAGGAAATGATTTTCGTGACCATTTCAGATAACTAGACTCAGGTTTGTGATGTGTCTTTAGGTGAAACTGCCACTTTAAATTATTAAGGAGCAAGTTTTCAACTTTAGACAATTTTACACATGTCCTGTGTGATGGACTTAAAGTCAAAAATTCATGACTGAATATGTATTAGTAGAAAGTTACTCTGGACATCTGTTCCCAAGTGAGATAGCAGGAGATTTTATTTAGAATTAAATCTGCTGATCCAGACCACAGATTAAGCAACCACAGGACTACCATTTCTTGTCTGGGGTCTGCAGGTGTGCCATTCAGCGTGGCTCCCGCAGCAAGGGGGCTCTCTCTTATTGAGCTCTGGGGTTTTTGTTTGGCTTTTCCTATTACTTCAAGCACTGTGAGTTCCCAGAGGGCACAGAAGTAGTTTGCAGAATCTTCTACCAGTAAGGCTGAAATGGTGAGGCTGATGAATTTATGTCTTTCCTGAAAGTTTACGGAATAGCGGCCATTCTTTGCATTTTGGCCAGAAGAACGCTGATGAATAAGGAAAGTCATCTCTCCACTGGGAAGCTGCTTATACCAAAAAATAGAGTACTGGCTCCAGCTTGTTTCATACTCGCAGTTCAAGGTGACTGCCTCCCCTAGTTGACTGGATATGGCTGGCTGGACTTGAGTAACTTTCTGGGCCACACCAAATCCTGTGGGCAAAAATCAGAAAACAGAGCTGAAATAGTGAACAAAATAATGTAGGAATTAGACTAATTTAGGACCCAAAGAAAAACCAACTTGAAATCATGATGAGCTTTCTTTTCTCCAATCCTCCTTTCCTCCCAAGTCCATGTGAAGTACCATGTGCCTGTGTGCAGCCCTTTCAACCTGAACATCTGTACCCATATTTGGAACCATCCCTACCAGAGAAGATGAAGGCCAGGAATACCCAGGGCAGGCTGGAGAGCACCATGTGGCAAGAATTCCCCTGCACATATGTTTTCAGTTCTGCCTCAAGCGGAGAGTTCAGTGTCTTTGAGGGGCTAGCAGCACATATACATAGTACCTGGGTTCCTGTGTCACTCCTCCAAACAGGAAGTAGGGTGTTATGTTCATAGACCACGTGGTCAGTGCACAGATGGGGAAAAAGTCTGGCTCACCACAAAACTATGTCTGCTTTTCTTCCCACGGTTAATTGTTAGGCAGTGTCTGAAAAGGAGCATGGAAAAAATAGTATTAAAGTTTTGAGCTGAGGGCAACTACAGATTAAACAGGTGGACATGCGTTGATAATTATTCAGCAGAATAATTTTGCCGGCCCATTTAAAATAGAATTTAGTATAGGGTATGCACCCTTCTTGTAATCTACTTACTGGTCATTCATTTAGCCTCTCTTTACTTTTCTCCATTCTGAATCAGTTGGAGTTCTTTTAAAACTCACAGATTTTCAGCTTTCTTGCTGAAAGGCAATATTATCCAAAAAATTAATGTATCTCTTTTTTTTAACCGGGTTCTAGGGCTGTATTTAGATTTTTCACTAAATAAAGTTACTTTACCATGAAATGTTAAAAAATCAGCCCCTCAGATTTTCAGAATCTGTTCAGTTTTTTATGTTTTCATGAAATTATAACAGGAATAATATATTCTTTTGAAACCTGACATTGAGTCTTATTTATTAGACTTTGAGGAAGATCAGGATATTCCAGATATTCAGTCCTGTTGCCTCCCCAGGTAGAACTGTACTTAGTAGATCATGTGTCCTATGCTTGTCTTGATGTCACATTTTCTATCCCATTGGTCCAAAGTGTTCAGTCTCACTTGTGAGGAGTTGATTATTTTTCTCTTTGTAAAATAAAGTCAAGATAAGCATGCCAGATCTTTCTGTGACACAATGCTCTAATGCACTCCTACAAAGCATGTTATCTACAGGCTGTAAGCACTCAGTACATGTCAATGCCACAGAAGTCGGTAACTGAAGTTTTGTATACTGTTACATGTTCTTGTGGAATGTAGCTGTCAATCTTCCATCTGGTTTCACTGTTTTAGCGGAAGAATTAAAATAGAAGAACCAAAGGCAAATAGACAAGTAGAAAAGAAAGTACAGACAGGGTCTCTAAAACAGTGCTAGTCCTTTGACTTTAGGGTCAAAATAACTCATTAATGAGTGACGCAGGGGTGAGAGTGTATTTTTAGTTGAGACATCTACTCCTCTGTCCCATTTCACCTCTGAGTGCTGACACGCAGCCGATGCCCTGGTTTGCAATGATGTGTAGCTAAGCAGAGGAGAGCCATGAATGCCCACAGCAGTCTGGGGAGCAGCATAATGGCAGGATTTCCCCCTTGTTGAAATGGCCCTGCTCTGAGTTCCTGACAGTAAAGGTGCAAGGTCCCTCAGCTGCACTATAGCAGCTGTCTCTGAAATGTAGTTTCTGGCTGGATCAAGTCTGAATGTGTATAACACCCAGGTTGGGAGATTTGGCCTGCCTTAAACATTGTTCTCCCTTTCCTTGTGATTTAATGATAAATGATTATATATAGTAAAGGACAGTCCAGTGATCAATATTGAAGGACATATGGGAAGGAGATTTATTACTTAAAATTTCCAAATTTAGTAAATTAATCTGTGATGGAATCTGAAGGGCTTACCAGAAACAAATTCATTATGAATCATGCTGTGTTTGCAAATATTCATTCATGTTCTTCTGATTGTTTTCTTGCCTCCAATTTCGATTCTAAGGTGAAATATGTTCACTGATCCTCGACTTCCCTACAAAAGATAAGCAAGAAGCCATCACCCCCCTTCCTTCCTACTTACCTGCCAAATCATGGCAACTGGTAACTTCACAACAGCAAATATCACTCAGGCAAATGAGAACAACACAGGGTTCTGACTTCTGTTATATCTCCAGTTGTGTATTGGAATAACAAATGGTAATGGCAGTAAAATCATATTCACTTGTGATGTAACTCTGTGCTTAACTTATTAGAAGTTGTAGGAAGCAAGGATCCACAGGTCCTCTAAATCCAAATATTTGGCCGTGTGTTTGTCGTGAGTGCACATATATTGTTTGGTGCAATTCTATAATTATTGTTATAGTTGTCACGAAGACAAAGCTTCTCATAACATACTGTTTAATCAGTGAAAATATAAAAACTATTAACAGTATAAATGTTTTCCAAAATAAAAATATTTCCTTCTCTTGACATTGAAGGAATGAAGATTCTTTTCCATTTTATCCTGAAATTTCATCTAATGAAGTTGTTTATGCCAAATTATCAAATTTCAAGCATTTTACTTTTGTTTCAGCACTTCATAAAGAAACCCCAGTGAGAATAACTGAGTTATTCTGTTGTAGATTGTCTTCAGACTCTCCTTGATTCCTTTATGCGAACTCCAAATTCACATATCATATGAGGGCACAGAATCACTACTGGGGTTCCCAGATCTTCCCTAGTCCCTCCCTGTGACATCCTTGATGACTGTTTTCTCATGCTGACCATGCATTCCCCTCTAGGCATTATATCTTATTTTAATCTTGTATATTTCATTCAAGTGAAAGCTACTCTACTCATATATACATTCTATTCCAAATTTATTAAACTGTTCAAACTACTAGAAAAAAAGCAAAACAAACTTTGAGAGCCAGGGGAATTCATATAGTGACATCTTTTTTTTTTAATTTTAAACTATAGTCATCATGCTGTACATTGCATCCCCAGGACTAATTTATCTTTAACTGGAAGTTTGTACCTGTTGAACACCTTCACAGACTCCCACCCCCATCCCCACTGATTCTGAAAATCGCCATTCTGTTCTCTGTACCTATGAGTTCTGCGGTGTGTGTGTGTGTGTGTGTGTGTGCCTGTGCTTTAGATTCCACATACAAGTGGTTTCATACAGTATTTTTTAAATTTTAATTTTCATACAGTATTTGACTTTGTCTTCACTTAACATTATGCCCTCAAGTTTCATCCATCTTGTAAATGGCAGGATTTTTTTTTTTTTTTTTTTTTTTTTTTGATGACATTATCCTTATTCATTCATCTGTCAATGGACACTCAGGTTGTTTCCAAGTCTTGGCTATTGTAGATGAGCTGCAATGAAGAGATATCTTTTTGAGATGGTGCTTTTATTCCCTTCAGGTATATACCCAGAAGTGGACATGCTGGATCATATAGTAGTGCTCGTTTTAATTTTTTTGAGGCATCTCCATACTGTTTGCCATAGACATTGCACTCATTTACATTTCCACTGACAGTTCACAGGGTTCCCTCTTTTTTACATTCTTACCAACATTTCTTTTCTTTTCTTTTTGATAATAGCCATTCTGACAGGTGTAAGGTGATACCGCATTTTCATTTTGATTTTCATTTCCCTGATTATTAATCATGTTGAGTATCTTCTAATTCACCCCTTGGCCATTTGTATGGCTTCTTTGGGAAAATGTTTATGCAGATGATCTGCCTATTTTTTAATCAGATTGCTTTTTCTATTGATCATATGATATTTTAATATATTTTGATATTAACCCCTTATCAGATATATAATTAGAAAATATTTTCTCCCATTCCCTAGATTGCCTTCTCATTTTGTTCATGGTTTCTTTTGCCTCACAGTTTGATGTAGCCCCACTTTTTTGTTACTGCTTTTGTTCTCTTTGCTTTTGGTGTCCAATACAAAAAATCATTGCCAAGACTGATGTCAAGGAATTTGTTCCGTATGTTTTCTTCTAGGAGTTTTATTGGGTTAGGTCTATGTTCAAGTCTCTAATCCAATTTGAGTTGATTTTTGTGTATGGTGTAAGATAAGTGTCCAGTTTCATTCTTTTGCATATGGCTTTCCATTCTTCTTAACACCTTTTATTGAAGAGACTTTCCTTTCCTGAATGTATATTTTTGGCTTCTTTTTCATGAATTAATTGACTACGTACACATGGGTTTATTTTTACTTTTATTTTTTAACATCTTTATTGGAGTATAATTGCTTTACAATGTTGTGTTAGGTTCTGCTGTATAACAAAGTGAATCAGCTATATGTATACATATATCCCCATATACCCTCCCTCTTGCATCTCCCCCCGACCCTCCCTAGCACACCCCTCTAAGTGGGCACAAAGCACCGAGGTGATCTCCCCGTGCTATGCAGCTGCTTCCCACTAGCTATCTATTCTAGATTTGGTAGTGTATATATGTCAGTGCTACTCACTCACTTCGTGGAGCTTACCCTTCCCCCTCCCCATGTACTCAAGTCCATTCTCTACATCTGCGTCTTTATTCCTGTCCTGCCCCTAAGTTCATCAGAACGTTTTTTTCTTTTTTTTAGGATTCCACATATATGTGTTAGCGTACGGTATTTGTTTTTCTCTTTCTGAATTACTTCACTCTGTATGACAGACTCTAGGTCCATCCACCTCACTACAAACAACTCAATTTCGTTTCTTTTTATGGCTGAGTAATATTCCATTGTATATATGTGCCACATCTTCTTTATTCATTCATCTGTCCATGGACATCTAGGTTGCTTCCATGTCCTGGCTATTGTAAATAGGGTTTCAATGAACAGTGTGGCACATGTTTCTTTTTGAATTACGGTTTTCTCAGGGTATATGCCCAGTAGTGGGATTGCTGGGTCATATGATAGTTCTGTTTTTAGTTTTGTAAGGAACCTCTATACTGTTCTCCATAGTGGCTGTATCAATTTACATTCCCACCAACAGTGCAAGAGGGTTCCCTTTTCTCCACACCCTCTCTAAAATTTATTGTTTGTAGATTTTTTGATGATGGCCATTCTGACTGGTGTGAGGTGATACATCATTGTAGTTCTGATTTACATTTCTCTAATGAGTAGTGATGTTGAGCATCTTTTCATGTATTTGTTGGCAATCTGTATATCTTCTTTGGAGAAATGTCTATTTAGATCTTCTGCCCATTTTTGGATTGAGTTGTTTGTTTCCTTGATATTGAGCTGCATGAG